CTATTTTTAGAAATTGCGTCATTTTTTTCCTATTTTTAGAAATTGCGTCATTTTTTTTATTTTTTGAAATTGCGTCATTTTTTCTATTTTTAGAAATTGCTTCAAATTTTCTATTTTTAGAAATTGCATCATTGTTGCTATTTTTAGAAATTGCGTTATTTTTTCTATTTTTAGAAATTGCGTCATTATTTCTAATTTTAGAAATTTGTTTATTTTTATATTTTTAGAAATTGCGTCATGTTGTTATTTTTAGAAATTGCGTACTGTTGCTATTTTTTGAAATATGCTTAATGTTTCTATTCATATATATATACAAAATATATAAACAAAACTAATGTGACAAGACAGACCAACTAAATTTATAAAAAGGAAACGTTAATATATGTTCAAACCTTTCTATGTTTGCGTTTAGAAAAAGTAAAAAGTCGAGCGTTGCCCCCGCCCGGCGGTGGCTCTTGTTACTATAATAAGCTTGTCTGATCAAATGCTGAAGAATGCCTGTCCACAGTGTATTTATTTTGACATTTTCACATTTGAAGCATTTAGAATACTTTTATCAAGTTTGCTCATGTTAACTTGTTTGGCCCCTTTTTTGGGGCCGCTATAGCTAAAAATAGAAAAACCTTTAGACATCTTCTTCTACAGAACTAATTGATTGATGAACACCAAGCTTTGTCTGTAGCATTCTTGGGTAGTCTTGTATCAAGTTTGTTCATATTAATTTGATTGGCCTCTTTTACGGGTCTCTAGAGCTAATAAAAGAAAGACCTTTAGAAATCTTCTTCTATAGAACTTATTGATGGATGATCACCAAAATTTGTCTATAGCATTCTTGGGTAGTCTTTTATCGAATTTGGTCATAATAATTTGATTGACCCCTAGTAGGGGCCGCTAAAGCTAAAAATAGAAAAACCTTTAAATGTCTGCTTCTATAGCACTAACTATTGGATGATAACCTAACTTTGTCTGTAGCATTCTTGGGTAGTCTTTTATCAAGTGTGCTCATGTTAGTTTGATTGGCCCATTTTTGGGATCTCTAGGGCTAAAAATAGAAAAACCTTTAGACGTCCTCTACTACAAAACTCATTGATGGATGATCACCAAACTTTGTTGCATTCTTGGGTAGTGTTTTATCAAGTTTGCTCATATTAATTTGATTGTCCCCTTTTAGGGGCCACTAGCTAAAAATAGAAATACCTTTTAACATCTGCTTCTTCAGACCTAATTGATGGATGATCACCAAATTTTCTTTGTAGCATTCTTTGGTAGTCTGGTAGTCTTCTATCAAATTTGCTCATATTTATTTGATTAGCCCTTTTTAGGGGCCGCTATAGCTAAAAATAGAAGAAACCTTTGAACATCATTTCCTGCTGAAATAATTGATGGATGATCACCAAACTTTGTCTGTTGCATTCTTATGTAGTGTTTTATCAAGTTTGCTCATATTAGTTGATTGGCCCCTATTATGAGCAACTATAGTTAAAATGCCCCGGGCCATGGCATTTCTTCAAATTATTGTTTAATAATTAAAGGAAAATAACTCATTTTGGAATGTTTCCATATATGTGTACATGTATACATGTCAACTCTCCCAATTTGAGCAGGAGACACCGTCTTTCTCCTGTCAAAATTTTAAATATGTTTCTTAGAATAAGGGAAGTTTAAAAAAAAAATCAAGAAATCGCCCTCTTTTTCATTTCAAAATTTCCTTCTATGTCTATTGTCAATTAAAGAATCTCCCACTTTTTGAAGTAAATTCTCCCTATTGAACATTGGAAACAGTTCACATGTATGTATATGTTATGCATAAAAAAGATTGAATGTCTTAATGTCATGACCTGTTTGCTTTTCAGAGATCTTGAAGAAATGATTTGAGGTCATGTGCTTTGTATCTTTCTGTTTGTGGGCATTGCATCTTTCTGCAGGTTCATTTGTAGGTCAATCTCGAGAATTTTCCCCAGAAAATGAAATAAGGCCTAAAGAAATATTACATTTTTATGTACCTTACAAACTTGGAGAAAGCACATTTCAATAAATATTGGGAAACACTGTTGAACCTGATGTTTCATGTGCATGGGATATTGTCACTGTGTAACAGATAGGTGATTGTTTTTCACTGAGACTCATTTACAGTATCTGTTGTATTATATGAGAATATAATAATAATATATAGAATAGTCTGATCGATTGACCTGTTATTGTCTTATAAGCCTGAACTGGTCTTCTCCATAACCACTTTCCCTGATCTCAGTTTTTTTCTCTTTTTTTTCATTAGGTAATATTCAATTTTTTTTTAATAGAGAAGCATTCAAACTAATAAGTTAAATGTTAATAAATTTGATCTTATATTTTCATAAATGTAGATATGGCTTAAATTATTTTTCATCTTATTTTACGTTTTAATCGTTTGTAACTTACCATTTTTACATTAAGGAACAAAACTTAAGTTTAAGTGAACTCATGTCAACTTTAGAAGTATTTCTTGCTTGTCTCTATGTAATTTGTCATTTCAATTATTTCTATCCAAAATCACAATTTGCAAACTTTGTTATCACTTGTTGAAAGTTATTTTGCACTGTTTCATACTATGTATGTAAATGTGTTTTCATGTTCACTGAATACATTTCATCAAACAATCTTTCGCCATTTTTAGCTCGACTTTTCTATGAAAAGGGGAGCTATCCTACTCGCCCCGGCGTCGGCGTCGGCGTTAGCGTTGGCGTCACACCTTGGTTAAGTTTTTCGTACCACCCCACTTTATTTCAGAAGTATTACAAGTATGGCTTTGAAACTTACCATACTTGTTCACCATCATAACCTCCATCTACAGACAAGAGTACATAACTCTGTCAAGGTTTTTGACAGAATTATGGCCTTTTTTGACTTAGAAAGTGTATTGAGCTTGGTTAAGTTTTTTGTACCACCTCACTTTATTTCAAAACCATTGGAGGTATTGCTTTGAAACTGACCATACTTGTTTACCATCACGACCTTCATCAACAGACAAGAGGACATAACTCTGTCAAGGTTTTGACAGAATTATGCCCCTTTTTGACTTAGAAAATACATTGAATATGGTAAAATCCACTTATTGCCTTAACCCTTTGAGATATTGCTTTGAAACTTTTAATGCTATTTCACATCATTACCCCCATCTGTACGCAAGAGAAGGTAACTCTGTCAAGGATTTGTTTTAAAAATTAAGGCCTTTTATCGACTTAGAATCTTGGTTAAGTTTTTAGTACCAGTCCACTTTTTGACTGAACTGTTTGAGATATTATTTTGAAAGTTGGAATACTTGTTTACAATCATGATTCCCAAACATGTCCAGGAGAAGGTAATTCTGTCAAAGATTTTATTTGAATTATGGCCCTTAACTGTCAATGTTTTGTATTATAGGCAAGCACTAAAAAACTTAAAAAATCTAAAAAAATTCATTCCTATCCACTTGTTCACTTTACCATAAATTATGTCATATAAACATTGCTGTAATATTCAAGGGTATCAAACAACTAGTTCACTTTAAAAATACAGAGATTCTTGTATTGCCTTTTACTGCAAAAACTTTTTTTATTGGCAAGCAATAAAAAAGTCGAGCGCGCTGTCTTACGGACAGCTCTTGTTCTCTATATAGTTACAATTTTCCCATTTCTATTAGAGAGTAAGATAATTAACCTGAAATATTAACCTTCTGGTCGAGTTGACCAGTATACCTATGTTATCTTAAATAAATATTGACCTGTGGTGTCATCCTGACAAACAGTATACATGATTATCTAAATACTGAGATTATGTTATTACATGTATCTAATTTTTAAGATAATTAAAAAAAAAGAAAGATCGCAATTTTGTAAAACAGTCATATGCAAATTTTATCACAAATTAATGGTCGAATGATCGCCAAACAAGGTTCCTATAATTTTTACTTTAAAGAAAAAAAAACAATCAGTGTCAGGAAACCTTATAAGTGGAGAGTCAAGTTGAAATTGACCTGGACTTGTCTTTCTACAAGTTTATTTGAAAAAAACAACTTTCTGTTATCACTGAAAAACAGTTGTTTCTGTTGAGCGATTCAGGGCCATTATCTTGTTTACATTTTTTCCTCGTATAAGTCAGATACAGTTACTAGTATTTTCTCCAATTGTGTCTTCTTATAGACGTGAAGAAGACAGTTCGCTAGGACAAACAACAATTTATCCTCGGTCTCGCCTCGGACAATTAGCTGTTTATCCCAGCAAACAGATTTCATAGGTCTGTAAGGAGACACTTTTGAAGAAAAACTGTATCCGTTCGATTTAGAGCTATAAAAATGATCCTGCCCGTTAAATGACCCTGTTCTTAAAAGTCACTGCAAATTATTTACTATTCATAAAAGTTGATATATATTTTTGTTCAAAACTAGAAATTGTGGAGCTTAGATATTTGGCATGAAACATTGTCTAGTAGACCTTAACTAAGTTTTTACAAATTATATTTGACGACCAAAGTTTTTCCCTAAATATGTAAAGTAAAACTTTAAAAATGTTTTGATCCAAAACTACAAGAGCTTTGTCTTTGATATTTGATATGAAACATTGTCTAGTAGACCTCTACCAAGAATGTTCAAATTATAGCCCTGGGGCCAACATTGGTCCTGCATTGGGGTGTCATGTGTTTTCCAAGTATATACATTTAGTTAAAATTGAAAAGATATGTTTCTTCAAGACTACATTTGTAAGATATTAGGTCTAGCTCTTGCTTCGCATGAAAGGATGAGGCAAGGGGGCATTTGTGTATAACACATTTCTTTTTTATATTTATGTCACATGATGTGCAACCGTCAGAACGATATGAATTTTAGGTATACACATAACAAGTATTTATAACTTAGCTGTGAACTCCCTGAATATCACCTATAGCATAGCTATTTGACAAGAACATTATACAAAACCACTAGATCACCTTAACTTTATGTAGGTTTAGATTTGTATTATTTATTTAATGCATTATTTTCTATTCAGGAAATGGTTGTGTCAAGGATCAGGCATCAGTTCATCCTTCCTTTGCTTGCTACATGTTATCAAGAAAAGTAAGTTGGAGCCAAACATTGATCTTTACATACCCTGAATTTTCAATGCATACATTTGTGTAAAAGGCTTTATATGGCCTTTATGACTAATGTAAGAACTAACACGGCTGTAAAATTTGCAAGGATTATTATATGCAAACGATGATATTTATTTTCAAGTTTCTCAGACCCATTAACTCATAAAGAGTAATGTAATATCTAAGCTGTAGTAGTGTAGTCTAAAGATGAATGGCTGTGTTGGTTCAAACCTGTCAAGAACAAGCAGCTGTCTCTTTAAGCAGGAACCTTTACACTTATTACTTAGTATTCAATGGTTCAAGGACAGCTTTATGAATAGTTACAATAAGCTCATAGCTTAAACACCTTTGAACTGAAATAAATTCAGTATATATATTAAAAGGAAAAAAAAAGTTTTACAATTTTTAGTAGATTAACTTTGTTCCATATTTCAGCTGTATACAAATATAAACTTTTGTCATCACCTGATATCCAATACCAAGGGTATTAATCATATATAAAAGAAATTAAATTTGTTTATAATAATAAATGTCTTTACTATTTATTGACTATCAATAATATTAATTGTTATTTGGTAAAACAGTTGTCTTTGCAAATTTCTTTGGTTGTATAACTCTTAGGCAATATGTATTAATAGTGTCCAATTTTAACCTTAACGATTTTAGAGGTATCAAGGGGCGGGTTGTTTGCTCTACCTTTGAGTCACACTTTCTATTTTTAACCTGAGGATGAAAGAAGCACTGAAACCTTTACAATTTAGGTATCATCTAAAATTTGGAAAAAATATGAATTAAAAACGCATGATTTTCAAATATGTCCATTTATTAACAGAGAGGCCTACTGTGAATATTGGTTTATATCTCCTTTCTGTGAAAATGGTGACTTACTTGGTGCACTTCAGTTGGATATTTCCAGAGAAGAACCAAAGCTAGAGGTCAAACACAGGATCAAAATTTTGTTCCAGATTGAGAAAGCCTTAGAATATTTGCATACACCTGTTAAGGGTGTGAGGTATGAATTTTTCACTGCACTCTGTCATTTAATTACTTTAGATTTCTAAGCTCATCTAAGCTTTAATTTAGTACGACGGATATATATCATCTGTGTCTACACAACATGAGCCTTATTTATCCCCTGCCGTGTAGCAAGGAAGGGATTATATTTCAGCCTCTGTCTGTTTGTCCGTCTCTAATCATCATTTTTATACCCCTCACAGACAAAGTTTGTCAGCTGGTGATCGGTCAATCTGTTCGTCGGTCTGTTGCAGATTTCTTGTCCGGGACATAAGTCAGAATGTACAAGAGAAATCAACTTTAAATTGTGTGGGTAAAGAGATTCCATTGAGTAGAAGTACATTGCAAAAGAATCGTAACTCTGAATTACCTTACTTTTGAGTTATTGCCCTTTGTATATTTTTACTTTTTGAACTTTGTCAGGGACAAAGCTCAAAAACCGCAAGGGGTATTAACAAAAAACTTCGTAGGTAGATAGATCTCATTGGGTAGAAGTGCACTGCAAAAGGATGGTAACTTTTCCTTCCCTTATTTTAGAGTTATTGCCCTTTGCTCATTTTTACACTTTGAACTTTGTCCAGGACATAGCTGGTATCAATTTAAATCTTTTTAGGTAGATTGATCTCATTAAGTAGATGTGAAGTTCAAAAGAACCATAACTCTGCCTTGCCCTTTTTAGAGTTATTGTCCTTACACTTCGAACTTTGTCCGGGACATAACTACAAAGGGTATTGGTAAGAAACTTTTTTAGGTAGATAGATCTCATTTAGAAGAATTGCAGTACAAAGAACCATAACTCTGCCTTGCCTTATTTTTTAGTTATTGTCCTTTGTTCATTTTTGCTCTTTATACATTGTACGGGACATAACTTTGAAACCACAAGAGATATCAACTTCATATTTTTTAGGTAATTAGATATCATTGGGTAAAAGTGCAATGCAAAAGAACCATAACTCTGCCTTACCTAATTTTGGAGTTATTGCCCTTTGTTCACGTGTACACTTTTAACTTTGTCCTGGACATTACTCGGAAACTACAAGAGATATCAACTTCAAATTGTAGGTAGATAGATCTCATTGAGTAGAAGAGCAGTGGAGAAGACCCCCCCCCCCTTTCCCTTAGTTTGGAGTTATTGCCCTTTGTTAATTTTTACACTTTGAACTTTGTCCAGGACATAACTTGAGAACTATAAAAAGTATCAACTTGAAACTTTGTAAGTAGGTCGATCTCACTGAGTAGAAGTGCAGAATTCTCAGGGAGAAGAACGTAATGCCCTCAAAAGAAGTCATGAAAACAAAACTTCAAATCCAAACTTTAATCTATTTTATTGATGATGGACAAATAATTTAAATTAATCATCAGTTGTGACAATTACTAGTTACATGTGTAGGGGCGCAACAAATAGAATGCTCTCCCCCTAGGTCAAGGTCACTCTTAAACGTCTTGTATAAAAAACGAACGATGAACCAAACTATCATGTTGTTATCAAAGCCAACGAAAGCATCCGTTGATTTAGAATAGAGATCACAGATTTAATGACTTTTTAATCACATCTATTGGACATGTGTGTTAAATTTGTGTTTATTATCCCCCGCTTAAAAGGTGTTGGGGGAAATAGTCTCCGTCCGTCCTTCCGCACTACCGAATAGGGGGCCATCTAACTGTAAACTGAACAAAAGAAAACAACAGAATTCATTCCTTATCAATAGAATAAGGGGTCATGGTCCTCTATTTGACAAAAGGAAATAACGATAAAAATGGCCCTCTATCCCTATTCGGTCGGACGGTCGTCCGTCTATCCATCTGTCCGTCCTTCCGTCCAACATTTTTGTTTGGAGCATATCTCAAAAATATTTGCGGTATCAACTTCATAGGTAGATAGATCATATTGAGAAGGAGTGCAGTGCACAAGAATGATAACTTAACCCTGCATAATTTTACAGATATTGCCTTTTGTTATTTCTATGCCCCCTTTCGAAGAAACGGGGGTATATCGTTTTGCTAATGTCGGTCGGTATGACCGTCGGAAGACCACATGGTTTCTGCTGATTATCTGAAAAACTCTTTATCACAAAATCTTCATATTCATATAGTGATTGGCCATAACTAATAGATGACCCCTTTTGAGTTTTGGGTCACTAAGTCAAAGGTGAAGGTGACAGCGGCCCTCAATGTCAGAATGATTTCCATTGCTATCTTGCAAACAATTCATCACGAAGTCTTCATGTTTCACATAGTGAGTGGTCATTACAAGTAGATAACCCCTATTAATTTTAAGGTCACAAGGTCAAAGGTCAAGGTCACAGGGGCTGTAAATGTCAAGATGGTTTCCGCTGATTATCTTGAAAACTATTTAAACAAAGCCTTCATATTTCACATACTGATGGTCATTACTAGTAGATGACCCCTATTGATTTTGAGGTCACTAGGTCAAAGGTCAAGGTCGCAGGGGTCTTAAATGTCAGAATAGATTTCGCTGGTTATCTTGAAAACTTTTTGTCACAAAGTCTTCATATTTCACATATTGATTGGTCATAACTATTAGATTACCCCTTTTGTTTGTGGGATAACTAGGTTAAAGGTCAATATCACAGATGTCTTAAATGTCAGAATTGTTTCAGCTCATTGTTTTGAAAATTATATATTTCAATGTCTTCATGTTTCACATACTGGTCGGTCATAACTAGTAAATGTCCCCTATCAATATTGGGATCACTTTGTCAAAGGTCAAGGTCACAGGGGCCTTAAATGTCTGAATGGTTTCTGCTCATTATCATGAAAACTAGTAATCACAAAGTCTTTATATTTCACATATTGAATAGCCATATGTAGTAAATGAGTAAAGGTGGAAAGATCTCATTGAGGAGGAGTGCAGCACCCTGCATTATTTTTTTCAGTTATTGTCCTCTGTTATTTTCAGCCATTAGTATTCACATAGGTTTCAAATCTGTAATCACTTCAGCCATCAGTTTTCATCATCAAAAGACCTCTTAGAATTTACTTATTCTGCTCTACTACATATACATTCTTCCAATGAGCAAACACGTTTGGCAGGGCATGGCCATGTTAACATGTCTCTTGTTATGAAATTAAATAAATGGAATATTACATAGATTATTACATAGATTTATGAGTGAAAACTTGAAAACTCATTTTCGATCTACATTTTCTTTTTGAAAACTACAATGACCCAGCATAAATACTTTGTATGCTGCATTGCCAAGTAGACTTTTACAAAAATAATGTGCATCATGCATCTGTGGTGAAAAAATTTGTCTACCTGTTCAATAAATACAATTTACTGTTAATAGGAAACAAGTTTCATACAGGTTATATGAATTGGTCTCTTCATTAATTGAATGTTAATTTTGAATGTCAGTGTGTGTAATAAAATTTTGATTTCAATGTCATAAAATGTAACATAGTGACCAAATTTAGCAGTCAAAATTATCGGTCTCTGCTGCCAGGGAATACAGTTGCGCAAACTGAGGCCATGAACTCTTTAATGGATTCTGTCAAGAATGCACCAAACTTTCCGTTTGTTAATCTTGTTGATATTAAATGTTTTATTAGAGATGCCATCATACACAAAGATGTTACATCGTCAAATATTCTGCTTGATGGAAAATTTAATGCACGGCTTATTGACTTTGGAATTTCAAGAGAGAAAAACGATGTCACTAATTGTCGATCTGGTAGGGATACATATAGTCATGATGATGTTGGGAAATCAGCTGCTTGCGAGGATTGGGATTACTTCAGCTTTGGTGTTGGTTGGTACTTAAATTTCATTTCATGACATATTTATCTGGTTTTTTTTAAGTATTTGAAGAGGTGTCCCACTTACCCAAGTTTTGGCATTTCTGATTAAAGTTTCTATGCAGTAAAATATTTCCTTTATATTAAGGTATTTACTACAAACTTTGTAGTGTGTGTCCATAATCATCACCAACAACATTTTTGACAAGATAAATTACTAAAGCACGACTGTTACCAGAATAATGTCCTGCTGTAATAAATCTTTTAAATTTTATATGCATGAAAAAGTTTCCTCGTATATTGTTATGCACTTATATCAAACGGCAGTTTGAGATTGCTACCCAGGTGTCTGTGATCAAGGTCAAGGTCACTGTTACTAAAAATAAAATTCAGTTTCCGCTAAATAACTTTAATTTGCTACAAAACTTGGTGTATGGGTGACGTATATCAAGACGCACCTGGGGGTCAAAATTACTGTAACTAAAAATAGAAATTCAGTTTCTGCTCAATAACTTAAGTTTGCTTAGGTTTATTGACACCAAACTTGGTGTATGGGTAGCTTATATCAAGACGCTTTTTTTTATTTCTACCCAGGTCTGTGATCAAGGTCAAGGTCACTGTAACTAGAAATAGAAAATCAGTTTTCGCTCAATAACCTAAGTTTGCTCAGGCCTATTGACACAAAACTTGGTGTCTGGGTAGCTTATATAAAGACACAGCTTCGGATTGCCACGCAGGTCTCTGTGATCAAGGTCACTATTTCTAAAAATAGAAATTCATTTAAACCTCAATAACTTTTGGTTTAGTTTGCTAAGGCCTATTGACACCAAACTTTGCGTATAGGTAGCTTATATCAAGAGGCAGCTTGGGATTGCTTCCCAGATGTGTTTGATCAAGGTCAAGGTCACTGTTGCGAGGGTTATAAATTAAGTTTCTGCTAAATAACCTCAGTTTTCTTTGACTTATTGACACAAAACTGTGGGTAGCTTGTATCAAGACACTACTTGGGCGGGTGGGCATCAATTGTTGCTAAAAATAGAAATTAGGGTCTCCACATAATAACTTGACTTGCTTATACTTATTGACACAAAGTTTAGTATGCAGGTAGCTTATATCAAAAGGCAACTAAGGATTGCTACTTAAGTGTCTGTGAACAAGGTCAAGGTCACTGTTCCTTAAAATAACTAGTTTGCTGTAACCTATTGACACCAAACTTGCTGTATGGGAAGCTTATATTAAGATGCAGTTTGGGATTGCTACAACAAGGTAAAGGTCACTTGTTTACAATAGAATTTTCAGCTTCTACTCAATAACTTCAGTACACTTTGACTTTTGATACTTAACTTGGCATGTGTGTAGCTTACATGACAATACAGCCTGGTATTGATACTCGGGTATCTAATACATTATGCCCCCCTTCAAAGACATGGGGGTATATTGCTTTGCATTTGTCTGTCTGTCGGTCTGTCGGTCCATAGACCAAATGGTTTCCGAGTGATAACTAAAGAACGCTTAGGCCTAGGAATATGGGGCGTCCGTGGCCGAGTGGTTAAGGTCGTTGATTTCCAACCATTTGCCCCTGACCGCTGTGGTTTGAATCCCGACAGGGACTTTGGATTCTTTCATGTGAGGAAGCTATCCAGCTAGCTTACGGAACGTCGGTGGTTCTACTCAGGTGCCCGTTCGTGCCTGAAATAATGCACGGAAGGGCACCTGAGGTCTTCCTCCACCAGTAAAGCTGGAACGTCGCGATATGATTTCTGGGTCAAAGGTCAAGGTCACATTGACCTTGTAGGTAAAAACAGTATTCAAACAATAACTAAAGAACGTTAAGGCCTAGGAACTTCAAACTTGTTATAATGATTGCTTATGACCAAAAGGTGACCCCTATTTATTTAAGGATCAAAGGCAAAAGGGTAAATTCACATCGACCTTGTAGGTAAGAACAGTTTCCGATCAATAAGTTAAGAACGCTTAGACCTAGGAACTTCAATTCTTGTATGTTAATTTCTCATGACCAGTAGATGACCTTAATTGATTTTGGGGTCAAAGGTCAATGTCACATTTACCTTGGAGGTAAAAATGGTTTGCAATCATTAACTTGACAACCCATCGTCTGTTAGCCCTCAAACTTCATAGGTGCATTATATTTGACCAAAAGATGACCCATATTGATTTTGGGGTCAAGGGGTCAAAGGTCAAGGTAATATTAACCTTGTAGGTAAAAATGGTTTCCGATCAATAACTTGACAGGCTAGATGTTTGGGGCAAAGGGGTCAGAGGTCAAGATCACATTGACTTTATAGGTAAAAATGCTTTTTAATCAATATCCCAACAACACATGGACCCTTTACCTTCAACCTTCACAGTTGCATTATTCTTGGCTGTCATTAATGTGGCATACATGATTCATAAATTTATGCTTAAATAATTTATTATTTGGTAAGATTTGTGATAACTTTGTCATTAAATTGTTGCACACAACACAACCACGGATATATATTACAGGAATCGGACACTCCTAGTTAACCCTATATAAATGCTTAAATTTCTTGTCGTGCACCCGATAAAGGTACATCGATCGATGATTTACCGGCGCTAAGCGAAAATGCCCGTTCGCAACGGATACCTACTTTACAAAATACCATATTGCTTTTCTATTTATTATCCGATTTTGGAAATTTAAAGTTTATTTTCAAGAAAAATACTTTTTTAATTCAAATATCTATTTTATTTGTTAAAGACAAACTATCTGTCCGCAACGACGATTAAAAAATAACTTGACGAAATCCGCTGTAAATTTACATTTTTTATATAAAAAGCAGGTATTTGAAATTTATTATTACGGTAACATAATAAATTCAATTTCAAAATAAAAAAAGAAGCCGGTGTAAGTTATTCACAGATAATCAAAGATGCAATATTTAAGATTTATTGGGTTATGTTGTCAAATTAATTGACGCACAATTGTTTTACGGGTAATGTATTGCGGGCTTTTCAATTCGCTCAACACGTGAAGTTAATTTATTCATTTTTTAATACAAGATCTCTTGCTGATATTGTCAATATCGCCATTTTCATAGAATATTTAAATTTCCTTCATCATTTATATCATTATTATTTGTTTTGTAAATCTGTTTTCAAAAATCGGTGCAGTGAAGTAGACAATCATCGTCACAGTAAAGTAGAGTACTCTCGTGTGGCTGTCTCGATTCCGGCCTTTTTAATGTAACTCGTATATTTCAATTATTCTTTTTATTTGAATGCCTGTAGAAAGATATTTCTGATATTTTTAATGTAACGCTAGAAAACAATAAAAAATTTTCAGTTGGTGTCAGTATCATGCGAAATAAAAGTAACTGTTGATTAGTTTTTACACATCGCTTAAAGCTGCATGCCTCCAGATGAGTCAAAATATATTAATAAAATCAAACTTGAGAAATATGTACTACGATTTTAGGAAACGAATAATGGTTCAAGATTCAAGTAATATTTTACATGTTGTGTTAGGTTAATGACAGATTTTTTAGTATTTACAACTATATTTCTACTGCGTTTCTAACGCAGTAAGGGCTATTTTTGCATATTTTGACTACATTTTGGTAATTTACATGGCTTGTAACTGCCATTGATAATGTGTAAATGGCTTCCTTTTGGTTATCTCACAATATTATAAATTCAAATACATTTTGAAAATTAGCATGAATCTTGAGGCCTGCTGCTTTAAATTTCTTTGAAGTTTAATTAAGGGGGTTAATTACCAGGTTACACGTGATAGTTGAAAAACTTTATTTTCAAACTTTCATTACCAGGTTACATGTGATAATTGCAACCCTCAATCTTCAAAAACAAATAGAATTTGAATGTATCTATTTTGTATGTGCGCGGTCTTTAACTACAGTCCACGGTATGTGTAATGAGAAAATGATTCTGAAGAGGATATATATAAATACAATGAAATCTATTTTCTTTCTTAACATTTATAAATGAAATTGAAAATATACAACTAAATTCGTTAAGTCTTTCTTTGAAAAAAAATGAAAATAAACATATGACAAATAAATCATTTGACGTGAAGGATAACTATGAAAAAAAATCTGTTTCAAAATAAAAAAAAACAGCTGTTCTGTATGCCAATAAAAGTTTCTTCCTTGCCAACCTAATGAATTCATCTATATATGAACGCTTGTCTTGAATGATCTGAAAATATATTTAATACACTAATTAGTAGAATATTTACTATATTTATAATAATAATATTCAGGTAATCAAATAAAAAATGTACAAATCATTTGGAAATAATTCACAGAAAGTGACAAGATGAGCTTTTGTTATCATAATTCGTCCAGCGTCAGTCAGTTTTTTTTAAATGACATCTCCTCATAAACCACTCATCATTTCATCCAAACTTCACAAAAATGTTAGCTTGGTGGTCACCTTGTTCAAATAATTTTAATTCCATGTAGAACTCTGGTTAAATGCCATTGCAACCGAAAGTAAAAACTTAACAAGAGGGCCACGATGGCCCTAGATCGCTCACCTGACCCAACAAACCCATCCAAACAATTACCTAGAAAAGCATTCTGACCAAGTTTCATGACAGTGAGTCCAAAATGTGACCACAAGAGTGTTAACAAGGATTATCCATATTTGAGCAATGTGACCTACTATTTTACCCAGGTGACCCATAATCGAACTTGACCTAGAAATCATTTAAACAAACTTTCAGACCAATTTTCAGGATACTTGGATCAAAAAAACAGTAGCCACTAGAGTGTTAACAAGATTTTTCTATATTTTCCTCCGGTGATTTAGTTTTTCATGCGAGATAACCCATGTTCGAACTCATCCGAGCAATTACCTAGACAAACATCCTGATTAAGTTTGATGATAATTGAGTCAAAAGTGTGACCACTAGAGTGTTAACAAGGATTTTCAGTATTTGGGAAGTGTGACTTAGTTTTTCATCCGAGTTGACCCATGTTCGAACTTGACCTAGAAATTATCAAAACAA